CTAATGAGAAGCCGCCACCACCACCCTGAACTCTTGGTTTTCTCCAATGGACTTTTGCTCATATTCACCCCGTCCAACTTCCTCCTTTTCCTCTATTAAAAAATGTTTCCCTTTGTTCGGTGGGCTTGCCTGTGTTTTGCCATAGTTTGCATGCCCTGATTTGCATTCGTTATTCCCGAGTAAACTTGTTTTTGCTGGTAAAATAACTAGCTATTTTATTTTCAAGGTTGATCAGTGTAACAGGGGGTGGGAGGCAAGGCTTTTAAACTGTGAGATAAAGTGATCCCACTGTCTATCAGAGCAAAGGGTATGGCTGCAAGGCAGAAAATCACTCTAAACGTGTTTTGTAACTTTTATTTACCTCCAGAAACAATGGGCTTGCTTTAAGTGAAACACATCTGGAGATGGCTTTTGTTTGGAATATTTGTGAAACTCAATCCACTTCTGCTAATTAAAGATTTCTAGGGCTATTCAGCATTCCTTGGGCAAGGGGGCCAAACTTTTTTCTTTCCCAAGGCCAAAAACATCAGTTTGCCCCCCTCCCCCCGCCCCCTACAAATAGCAGTCAGAGACGAAGCCAGATGACCAGGAGGGAGATTTCCGTGAAGTCCTACTCTCCCTAAGGAAGAGTTGCAGACCAAGGTGGGAATAATGTGCAGCTCGAATGGAAGAGGAGACAGACCATGAGGCTGCTCTTGTGTTCTGTGGGTAAATTTCCTTTCAGATTAACAATGTAAAGGGAGTATATACTCATAGAAATTTTATAAACAATAGGGAACTATAAAAAGAAAAACATCTTACAGTTAAGTCCTCACTTACCATCATCATCAAAAGGTTCTGTGACTTGAAGCAAACCCAGTTTTATCTGAGGCTAATTGATATAAACAAGACTTAAGTTCCTTAACTCATCAATGCTATAAGGAAACAAAGTTATTGGAGGACCAGCTGTATGTAACCTCCCCTCCATCTGAAGATGGCTGCTGTTACCATTTTGATATATATTTAATCAATTCTGTATCCATTTTATAGACACTACTAGAGGCCAGGTGCACAAATTCATGCACTGGTGGGGTCCGGCCAGCCCACCCTGAGGGGGGCTGATGGGGGCCGATCCAGGCCAGGCCGGCCAGGGGGAGGGGCTTGGGAGGTTGGCTGGCTGGTCCCGCCCCCAATCAGGTGGGTTGGCCGGCCTCAGTGCGCATCACTGTGACTGGTTGTTCCGGTTGTTCCCGTTGCTTGGCTTTTATATATATAGATTACTACCACTAGTGGCTACTATTTATTGAGTTCTTTTGTGACACATGCTGTTCTGCTTTACACATACTAGTTCATTTATAGTAGGTGCTACTATTCCCATTCAAAACAAGCAAACCAGGCCCCAAAGAGGGGTAGGATTTGCCCAAGTTCCTTCAGCTAATGTGCAGTGGGACCCAGGTGAGAACTCAGAAAACCTCTCTCCAAGCCCATGGTTTATACTGCTGCCATAAAACCCCTCCCCATTTCCTTTCCTCCCAGTTTTATTGAGATATAATTGACATATAAAATTGTATTCATTTAGCCCAGCCAGTGTGGCTCAGCAGTTGAGCTTCATCCCAGGAACCAAGAGGTCACAGGTTTGATTCCTGGTCAGGGCACATGCCCAGTTTGCGGGCTTGATCCCCAGCAGGGATGCTTGCAGAAGGCAGCTGATTGATGATGTTCCTCTCTCATCGATGTTTCTAACTCTCTATCCCTCTCCCTTCCTCCCTCTCTCAAAATCAATAAAAACATATTTTTAAAACATTGTATTAATTTAAGGTGTACAATCTAATGATTTCATATTTGTTTATATTGCAAAATGATCATCACAATAAGTGTAGTTACCATCTATCACTTACCTTTTTTTTCTTGTAATGAAAACTTTTAAGATATACCCTTAGCAACTTTCAACATACACTACAGTATTGCCAACAGCATAGTCACCACGCTGTACATTACATCTCAGGACTTATTTATCTCTAGCTGGGTGTTTGTACCTTTTGACCACCTTCACCATTTTCCCCACTCCCCGTTTCCTATAGTCCACATTTTGCCATCAGGAATCTGAAGTTCCCTGAAGGTTTGGAGATAACAGTTGAGAGTTCAGCCCTAGCTGGTTTGGCTCAGTGGATAGAGCGTCGGCCTACCGACTGAAGGGTCATGGGTTCAATTCTGATTAAGGGCATGTACCTCAGTTGCAGGCTCAATCTGATCCCCAGCCCTGGTCGGGGTTCATGTGTGAGGCAACCAATCCATCTGTCTCTCTCACATCACTGTTTCTCTTTCTCTGTCTCTCCTTCTCCTTTCCATTCTCTCTAAAAATCAATGGAAAAATATGCCGGGGTGGAAATTAACAAAAACAAACCAAAAATAAATAAATAAACATAAAATGATTTATTTTTTAATACATTTTTAAAAATTAAAAAAAAAAAAGAGTTCAGAAAGTGGGCAGAACAAGCTTGAAGGGCAGCTACTACATTGGCCTAACCTCCAACCTGTCTCCTGGCAAGTGGAGGGCCTGTGACAGGTTCTTTTCTCCTCAGGCGGCCCCAAAGCCTCTAAGACTCCAAACGGGAGAGAGGCTTCCTCAGGGGGTTATAACCTACAGCAGATGCAGGTCTGCCTGCCTGAGTGCCATGACGTTTTCCTCCAGGGCAGTTCAGCTTCTCCAAAACCAATCCTTCCAGTTCCAAGGGGAAACGCTCCTCCCCAGAAGGCCAGTCACACCCGAGAAAGAGGAATGGCTTGCTCCTACAAAACGGCAGCTTCCCAGATCTCAGAAATGCACTGGGGGCCCCAGCTCAGCCAGAGCACCAAGTGGGGCCTTGGAGTGTTACACTCCATTGTTCCATTCATGATCTCTCACGGACATAGTTTTCCAGCAAAGATGATTTTTAATGATCATACTGTATCTCACCATGCGGATATAACAACGTTTACCAAACCAAATCCGTTTGGCTTATATCCATTATTGACTAAAGTTGTAATAAGCAACCATGTACATAGCCCAAACACAGAACACCCTTTACTTCCTTAGAGAAATTCCTAAAAGTGAAATTACTGGCTAGACAGGACACACGATTTTAAGGCTTTTGATGGAAACTCTCAAACTTCCCCCTACAGAGATGTTCAAGATATTTTCCCCTTTAGCCTTGGTGAGAATGAATGACATGATTTTCAATAAATTACTGACTAGTGTATGAACAAAAAGCTCCTCAATAATTCGTCCAGTAGATGGCACTCGTTGCTAAGATTTTAAGTCTTGGATCTCAGGCAAGGCTCTCAGTACTTGATTCAATTTGCATCAGTAAAATTAGATACATATCAAAGCAAATTTGCAGAAGGAAATCTAGGATGTTATATAAAAACCAATCAACAGTGGGATCTTGGGGTCCTGTGAGACCTTAAAAACACTCTGGAATGTTGTCACCCTTCCAGCTATTAAAATCTCCTGCAACTTCCCAAGAACCCCGCAGGGACCAACATTTAAAGTGCACATGCATTCTCTCCACTTTCCCTGTTAATTTTTACTCCAGGAAAGCAGGATTGGGCTATCCTGGTTCCTTCTAACCTGCTTTCTGGGCCCTTAGCTTACCACTTTCATGTGTGATTACTGATTGCTTCTCTCTGTTGCTGGAGGTGGCATTCACTGGAGCCCAGTGCAGTGGCCCCTGCAGGTGTCAGCCGCATGAAGCCAGGCAGAGGTCTTGGGACCTGGCCTTAGAGCTTTGCCAAATGGTGCCCTTCCTTTTGAAACCAAAATCCATCCTGAGATTTTCAAATCTTAGCTGCTATAAATGACAAAAACTTAACAACAGTCTGGAGGTGAATAAGCCACAGGAAGAAGGGTGGCAGAATGACTAAAAGTACACATAGAAGGATGGAGTTCCAGCTCACTTACTGGTCAAAATTAAATCACTCCCTAAGTCTGTTTCCTCATCTACAAAATAGCTCTAATGATAGCACCTACTCTATTAAGCAAGAATTTGCATTCCAAGGGCTCAGCACAGTGCCTGGTACCCAATAAGGACTCTAAGTTTGCTTGGCCATTGCAACCTCGCCTCCTGCCAAGCAGCACCCTCTGAAGGAACAGTGGAAAGAACAAGAATGAAGAGATTGTTTTTTTATTATCCCAAGCCACCAATTTAGACAACATCTTGCAAGTTAATATTTGTGTTGTGTGACCCCCCCGGCTGTCAATAGTTCACTCGGCTCTAACACTGCAGATGAATAAGGTTCTAACACTGCAGATGAATAACTGGCATGCTGAGGGGGTGGGGGGCGCTCTATCAGGGTGCAGAAGGTCCAGAATGACATGCCTTGGCTAAACTCCCCCAGAAGGGACTCAAGTTCTTTTCCAGTTCACAGTCAATTTAATCAGCAAGTATGTCTTTCTTGCTCCCAGGCCTGGAGTGACCGTCATCCTGCACTCCCTCTGACTTCTGACCTCGCTCTGGCTACCTGGCAGCCCTTCTTACCTAAGATGCCTCTTGCGTTCTTCAAGAATAACAGGATAAAGCCCCTTCACCTGCAGTCCGCCTTTAACTTCGTTGAATTTCCAACCGAGATTTGGGGGTACAGTTTTCAGGGTGCTTCCTCTGGAATCCCCCATTTTGTTCATTTAACTGAGCTTATGCAAATATCAGGTTTCCCAAAACTTGTGTCACTGCTTTTCAAAATTGTATGCCCTGAACACTGTTCTTTGGCACGGAGATTCCTGTTGGGACAAAATGGGAATTTCTTCCGCTCACTCGGCCCAGTGATTCAGTACCCCGAACCCCAGCAGGACCACGAACTTCTCCCAGGAGGGGCCGTTTCGATGCTCTTCATACCTCCCAGGTCCCGGATGAGCAGACTGCGGGGACTCTATTACCGCCGCCCATCAGGGACAGAAACCCGCGCCCCACTGGGCCTGGACGCTCTGCGGGAGCAGGCAGGCCTCCTCTGAGCCCCAGTGTCCCCCTAAAGCCCACCCTCCCTAGCTTTGGCCTCAGGCTCGCCCGACGACACCGCCTGCTTCCAGCCTGGGGCGAAGGTGGGTCTCCGGACCACCGAGTGGCGTTTGGGCCACGTGGGCGGCGGGGTCCAGGCACAAATAATGTATAAACGTAACTGCAACAGCTTAGCGCAAAATCTTTAAATACATATAATTGAAAGAAAAACAGAAACGCAAATAACTACAATATAATATAGTAAACTATAGTATATAAAAATATTCTGCGGGGGGCGCGGGGGGCGAGGGTGTGGCCCTGCAGCGCAACATCACGCTGCTCAACGGCGTGGCCATCATCGTGGGCACCATCATCGGCTCGGGCATCTTCGTGACACCCACTGGTGTGCTCAAGGAGGCGGGCTCGCCCGGGCTGGCGCTGGTGATCTGGGCCGTTTGCGGCGTCTTCTCTATCGTGGGCGCGCTCTGTTACGCCGAACTCGGCACCACCATCTCCAAGTCGGGCGGGGACTATGCCTATATGCTCGAGGTCTACGGCTCGCTGCCCGCCTTCCTCAAGCTCTGGATCGAGCTGCTCATCATCCGACCCTCCTCGCAGTACATCGTGGC